ACAGAGGTTCCTTTGCTGCCCCTCGGGCATACCAGGAGTACAAACCGACCCCCTTCTTCCCGTCACGCGGAAGGCCATGGCAGAGTCATGGAGGTCATGGACATGCATCGCACAGACGTCCGTACAGTGAGTACTCTCAGTCCTCCTTTTTCCCATATAAACGTGGGGGGCAGACTGGCCTTATTTGTAGTTATGTGGGGCAGGATTACCACAGATGCTTAGGTACTGAGTACGGTCAGAGGTTTCCGTCTAAACCTATTGTCTCCCCCTTTCCAGACTTGAATACCCCAGGAACTGATGCTACCAGACGACCAGAGTTAATCTCCGCAGAAATCTCAGAGCTTGGCGCCAAACAGGCAATACAGAAAATCCTGTACGACACTCCAGGTTTCCTAAGCAATTTGTTCCAAAAAGGACAGAGGTTTCCTCTGTTATGAGCACTTCAAGATGGAGGGTATTCATTGCCTCAGGGACCAGCTCCGTCCGGGGGAATGGATGGTCAAGCTAGACCTCAAAGATGCCTATCTGACCGTACCTATGGCAGAGGAACATTGGGACTTGTTACACTTCACGTTGCGAGGACGTCGATGGCGGTTTACCTGTCTGCCCTTCAGACTATCTTCAGCACCCTGGTGCTTCACAAAGGTAATGAAACGGGTAGTAGCATTTCTCAGGGCTCGAGGCGTTCGAATGATTATATATCTAGACGACATCCTGATTATGTCCTCGTCACCCGATCAACTCCTGCGCCACTTAGATTGGACGGTACATCTGCTGGAGGACTTGGGATTCCTCATGAATTGGGAAAAATCCATGGTGGAGCCCATGGAAAAGATCGAATTTCTGGGATTCGAAGTCGACTTGGTCTCCCAATTTTTGTTTCTTCCGAAAGCCAAGTTAAAAGCAATAAAGAAGGAAATAAGGCGTACACTTCGGGCCTCCTCTCTCTCCATCCATCAGCTGGCGCGAGTGATTGGTTTGTTGGCCTCATCGATTCAAGTGATATTTCCAGGACCCCTACAATACCGGGCATTGCAACGACTGAAAGGGTCTCATCTCAGGTCGGGCCATTCGTACGAAAGCAGACTGAGACTGGACAGGGAATCCCGTGAGGAACTGGTATGGTGGCTGGACCACATGGAGGTGTGGAACGGCCGAGCAATATTGGGAACCGCTCCGGATATAGTGATCGAATCGGATGCCAGCCTACATGGTTGGGGGCTCGTTGCGGAAATGTTTCCACAGGTGGCAGATGGTCTAGGGACGAATCCGGGCTCCACATCAACTCCCTGGAATTACTGGCAGGATCCTTCGCCATTCGCAGTTTGTCTCCGACTTTGGGGAATTGTTGCATACTGCTCCTCATGGACAATGTGTCCGCGGTCCGGTACATCAATCATCTGGGTGGCACGAAGTCCAAACAACTGGCGAACCTAGCAAAGGATTTTTGGCAACGAGGTGTCGGTGACAGTCAAACACATCCCGGGATTGGACAACGAATGGGCTGATTGGAATTCCCGCTACCTGAGGGATTCGGGGGACTGGCGCCTGCTCCAATCGACCTTCCAACGGTTGAACCGCTTATGGGACCCACTGGACCTGGATCTGTTCGCATCCAGACGGAATTCCCAACTGCCGCGATACTTCAGTTGGAGACCGGACCCATCGGCCCTGGCGGTGGATGCATTCCTCCAGACGTGGCCGTCTGCTCGTCACTATGCATTTCTACCGCTCAACCTGATTTCTCGGACGCTATAGTACCTGTGCAGGCAGGACTGTACGCTGGTGATTGTGGTTCCATTGTGGCAAGCTCAGCCTTGGTTCCCTCGACGTCTGGAGATGTCATTGGATTTTCCACGTCTCATTGCAATGAGACCGGACACACTTCTAGATCCGGATGGGAACTGTCACGACTTGGTGGACCAAGGTCAGTCGCAGACGTTCCGCAAGCAACTGCACGACTCTTAAACAGTGCGTGGGCACCGGGAAATAGAACCGCCTACAGTTCCACATGGCGCATGTGGGCTGGCTGGTGCGTGGGAAGGTCGTTGGATCCATTTTCTGCCTCTCTGAATGAAATACTCAGTTTTTTGACAACGCTTTTTAAATCTGGTTTGGCTTACCGTACGATTAATGGTTACCGCTCAGCTATTTCGGCTGGACACCTCGGGATTGATGGATCACCAATTGAACAACATCCTTTCGTATGTAGATTATTGAAAGGTATCTGTTTCTCTAGACCCCCGAGAACCAGATATTCTTCGTTCTAGGATGTCAATGTGGTACTACGATTTTTGGATTCATGGCTTCCTAATGAAGAATTATCACTGAAACATTTGTCTTGGAAGCTGGTTATGCTTCTTTGTTTACTCTCTTGCAAAAGGATTTCGGATGTTAGAGCTTTGGACTAGAACGCAATATCTTTCACCCCTGAGGGAGTGTAATTTAACATTTCACAGAGGACTAAATCTGCTACGAAGTCGGTATCCTATCCGAGATGTTCAGTTCGACTTACTCTGTGCCCGGTAGCTTTCCTTCGAGTTTATCTGGATCGTACTCGGCAGTTAAATTCACCCAATTTATTCCAACTGTTTATTTCGTTTCGGGCACCGTTCCTTCCAGTTTCTTCTACAACATTAGCTCGCTGAGTCAAGGATCTTCTCTCTTCAGCAGGGATTGATACCTCAATATTCTTTGCTCATTCGGTTAGGGGGGCCATGGCGTCCAAAGCATCTAGGATTGGATGTCGCTTGGACGATATTTTGAAGTCGGCGGATTGGTCTCATGAGTCAATCTTTCGTGATTTTTATTTCCGTCATTGACCATTTTTCTTCACTAGTTATGGCTCAGCTTTGAACTAGCATAATAGGAGCCTCCGTGTCATTAATAAAATTCCAGGATTTTACTATTTACATGACGTAAAATCATGATTTTATTAATGACACGGAGGCCCACTGGGTTTTCAGTTTTTCCTGTCTGGTTCGGATGGGAGTGTCCCACACCACACGGTAAGTGACCATTGATTGAATTAGTTAAGTTGGAATATCATGCTGTTTTACATACCTGTGTATTTAGGTGGAATTTAGTGTTTTTTGTTCACAATTATGAATGACAAGATATTCTGAAGGAATTGCATATAGATCCGGAGTTTGGATTTTACCATTTGTTTTCTCTGTTTCCACAGCCTGATTTTGTTCTGATGATGTGTTTTTCCGTGGTTGACGACTGTTTTTCCTGATGTGGATAGTTTCCGGTTATTTGGTCTTCGGTTTGGAAGGCAAAGAAGAGGAAGTTGGAGGATACAGCAAGGTATTTTATAGACTGTTTCTATAAACTGGTTGGCTGCCCTGTTACTAGGCAGAGTTGGTTGTATCTGTTATATTATTCATATTTTCTGTTTCAAGTTATTTTTTCTAAGGTTTTTTTTTTTTTTGCTGCTGAGGAATAAATTAAGAACGAGATTGCATAATACTCGCCTCCGTGTCATTAATAAAATCATGACTTTACGCCATGTAAATAGTAAAATCTTGGAATTGTATTAATGACACGGAGGCTCTTATTATGCTAGTTCAAAGCTGAGCCAATATTTAGCTGAGATTGGCGATGAAATTACTACACAAAAAGTGTCAAAATAACCTTAGATAAATAGCCTGTGATGTCTACTTTTTATAAATATATACTTTTGTGTGGCAATTTAGTTTTCTGTGATGGCTACTAAACCTACAAGACAAACATACCAAATTTTATTTTAGTCCTTGTATTTTGTGACCTGTAACTTTCAAAATAAGCTGAAATCCATCACATATTATGTACTCTATAAATCAAGACACATAATTGAATTTATTTTGAATAACTTTTTCTAAGATGGACATATTATGCACATGCTATTATCGACAAAACTGTGAAGAAAATGTATTTTTGGGCTTTTTTTTTAAATGAATGTGAATTTATCTATGTATATGTGACATCAAATTAATCCCCCCTTTGCCCTCTAAAGAGTGGTATATAATATGTGTTGGTGCAATAAATGATAGAGATGCAAAGTGCGTTTGAACACAGCAAAAAATGCAAAAATGGCTTGTATCCTTAAAGGACCACTATAGTCAATCAGACCCCTTCAGCTCAATGAAGTGGTCTGGGTGCCAGGTCCCTCACGTTTTAACCCTTCAGATGTAAACATAGCAGTTTCAGAGAAGCAGCTATGTTTACATTTGGGGTTAATCCAGTCTCTAGAGGCTGTCTTCCGGACAGCCACTAGAGGCACATCTGTGACGCTGAATGCAAATTTCACATCCATCTCGCAGAGCATCACTATGGACACTTTGAATGCGTGCGCGGTACTTGCCGCGCATGCACATTCGGCTCTGCTGACATCGGACGGGGGAGCTGACGTCGGTGGGGGAGGAGAGGTCACCAGTGCCGAGGGTGCCCGGTGCTGGATTAAGGTAAGCCTCTGAAGGGAGGGGCACCCTGAGGGTGGGGTCACCCTCAGGGCACTATAGTGTCAGGAAAACCGCTTTGTTTTCCTGACACTATAGTGATCCTTTAAGGGTAAGTCCAGTTTTTGAAGCTGCATCCTTAAAGGTTAATTTATAAAAGTGTTAATTTCCATTGAAATTTTTATTTTTACTTTTGTAAAATGAAAAAAGAGGACACATTCAGAAAGTGTTTAGGTGTTTGGAGTTTCCCGTTAAAAGGGACACTTCTGTGAATTGTACTATAATGGTATCCCTATTAATACAGGGTCATTGCACAGCTGGTGCTATGACCAGGTATTAATAGGAATACCATAAAAGTAAAAACACTTAAAGGGACACTATAGTTACCTGAACAACTTTAGCTTAATGAAGCAGTTTTGCCCCTGCAGCCTAACTGCTCAATCCTCTGCCATTTAGGAGTTAAATCCCTTTGTTTATGAACCCTAGTCACACCTCCCTGCATGTGACTTGCACAGCCTTCCATAAACACTTCCTGTAAAGCGAGCCGTATTTTTATTGCAAGTTCTGTTTAATTAAGATTTTCTTATCCCCTGCTATGTTAATAGCTTGCTTAATCCTGCAAGAGCCTCCTGTATGTGATTAAAGTTCAATTTAGAGATTGAGATACAATTATTTAAGGTAAATTACATCTGTTTGAAAGTGAAACCAGTTTTTTTTTTTTCATGCAGGCTCTGTCAATCACAGCCAGGGGAGGTGTGGCTAGGGCTGCATAAACAGAAACAAAGTGATTTAACTCCTAAATGGCAGTGAATTGAGCAGTGAAACTGCAGGGGAATGATCTATACACTAAAACTGCTTTATTTAGCTAAAGTCATTTAGGTGACTACGGTGTTCCTTTAACATTTTAAAGGTAACATTTTGGTGGAATCTTGTCAAATAATATGTCATAAAATCTAGATTTAAAAACAAAACATTATTCAATTTAGTTTTAGTTAATTAAAAATGTTATACATTTACAATAGACACTTGAGGGTTTTGAACCTGTGCCAGAGTAACAATATTTAATTATACTCATTGCATCCTTTAGATACCTTTGACTGCAAATGATTACAGATTTAACAAAAAACTGATACACTGCTAATGACAAAGAAACCATTTTTAATGGGTACAACTACTGCCATCTATTGTAAAAGTGGAGTAACACACGATATTGCAGAAATTACAAACGGCTTAAAGTAAAAATTCCAGTAACCCATCAAAAAGATTCTCTACAGCAGGCTTCCCCAATCTCTGGACCTCCAGACATTGCTGAACTATAACTCTCATGGCTCTATGAATGAAATAGATAGGCTGAGCATCATGGGAGTTGTAGTTCAGCAACATCTGGAGGGCCGGAGTTCGGGGAAGCCTGGTCTAGAGTCTGAAAGGAATACTGTTGCCTTGTGTTAAGACCTGCAATGGTTATGGTGCTGCGGTCTTCTGTTCCCTTTCCCAACAGCTGAGCATGAGTGATTATAGCTGCAGCAGGGAGTAGAGGAATAAGGTAGATGAAATGTAGTTCCAAGGTGATTCTTCCCAGCAAGTAGAATATCCCCCAAACATGAGCCTAGACTTCATGAAGGGTGTAACAGGAATTAATTTTATTGACACACACAGGCTTTTATGAGAAATCCTCCTGCAAGAGGACCTCCCACAGCAAACAAAGACAACAGCCAATCAACGTACATATTTACATATCTCCTCTCTGCCTGGCAGATATTGAGATAAGTTAAGGAATAAACCAATTATCTCCAGGCAGAGAGCACACAATTTCCCCAAAACTTAGAACACCCATTTCCCTACAAGTTATCCCCACAAATTACATATCCCCTGATAGGCCTAATCTGGGGGACAAACATATCCAAATTTCACCCAGATCGGTTCAGGGGTTCTGAAAAAGTGTGGAGGGTCCCTTTTCCCGACCACACACCTGGCTCCTGCCCAAAACAGTTCCATGAATTCAGCGTGTGCGGTCGGTCAATTCACAAATCTGTAAAAACCGAACAAAAGTCCCAAATGGATCCCCCTGGCTCATAGCAGCGATTGCTCCCCTTGTCCGTTCGCATAGACTGTTCGGGAAATACCGAAGCCGGTGTTCGGTAGTTTCAGCGGTGGTTTCGCGAGGTCGAGTGTCCAATTTTAGTTCCAGACACTCGACGACCAAGTCCCGCTGACTCCCCTCGTGCGAACAAGATGGACGCCGTTTTCTATTCCACATGGCGTTTGGCTATATGAACAGCGGCCGCCCAGGAAGCACATAATAGCTGGCTCCTTTGTAGTAAATAAGCCAGGAGGGTGGTCGGCTTTCTGTAGTTTCAAACTAACAAACTAATACATTCACTATACAGGTAGTAACACAAGAAAAATACAGAATAAAAAAGAAAATGTCAATTAAAAGTCTATTTTCTTCACACCTAGAAATGACATTTCATCAAAATAATAATTTTCTTATTTCATAGCTGTTACTTTTTACATGTTATCTTTTCCTGTCTTTTACACTTCGATCTTACTCGTCTTACCTATTTTACCGGTCCACATGGTGACACAAAATCACAATTAATTATGCAATAAATTAAGTATGGAGAAACTAATTACTAAAGACTTAGCCACCTGGGTGCTAATCCTCACTGGTACTCCCTCAAATACCAATATAAATGGTAAGAAAAGTGAGAAAGAGAATGCACACCAGAAATCACAAGTAATAACTAACCTAGTTTAATAAACCAATACTGAGTTCAAGCAAAAAATAACAATAATACATAAAGTGATACAAAACCAGGCACAAAGCATAGATTATAAACAATAATAGTTTACCAAAATTTTCACAAGCCTAATAGGGCAGAAACAGGAATAAAAAATAACCCCCCAACGTTTCGGCACCTCCTGGTTGCCTTTATCAAGGGCGTTTATATCTAGACTCACCACAAATCCCTTTAAATAGCTAACAAACATCTGATGGCCATCAGTATGATGGGGAAAGCCGAAACCGGAAGTGACATCATCACCTCGCCCTCGGTTTCAACCCATCCATACAGAGCACCCTGAAATCATAACTATACCCCTAACTCAGATAGATAATATTACTATATTCTCATAAATTCCTAACACTATACGCCCATCACTCACCTCCATTGAGACATCCAAAAAAATGCATCCTATAGGCATCATATTCTACAGTGAATGATATGGTGTCTAGTCTGGTGTCCAATCTCTCTTTGAAAAGACGTAAGTCTTCGATGTTCCCTGTCCAGAGAAAGAAGATGTCCTCTATGTAACGTAGCCAATTAACAACAGATTGTTGAAACAAAGGATCAGGATATATAAAGGCCTCCTCAAATGCTGCCATAAATAAATTGGCATAAGTAGGGGCCACATTAGACCCCATCACCGTACCCTGTATTTGTAGATAAAATTTATCCTGAAACACAAAGTAATTTTTGTGGAACACCATAGACAACATATAACAAAACAGGAAATATATACCACACCAAAACAAGGTGACAGTATAAATTAAAGGGGTAGCAAACCAATGTAATAAAACATACAACTTGTATGCAATAGAACAAGTCTTGAGAAATCTAAAAATATGAAAAATCACACAATGGTGAAGTATGTAAAAAGCACCAAGCTCAATCCCGAAGGTAGAGAACTTACAAACAGTATTGTCGGTCTGCGCTTATCTCCCTCTTAAAGGGTATCTCAGAGCAGCACTGGAACTTCTTTGCAAGGAGGGCTTGTAATGTAGATCAAAATATATACAGAGACTCCAATCCTCAAAGGAAAGAAAATATATAGAGCAGTATAGTAAACCAAAAATAAATTTATTAATACTGGTTACACTTACATAGAAGCTATGTTAAATCAGCATGTCTCCACTCAACAGGTGATACCATAAGGAGGAGGTCCAGCTTCAATGAATAAAAAAAATAAAAATAATAGTAACAACAAAGATAAAAAAGAGAGACTAGGAACTAAATGTCCCAAAAGACAGAGCCTATGGGTGAGTCCCATTCCACTGCTATACACTTTATTATTACTATTCCTGGCTGATCCCCAGTTTTACATACTTCACCATTGTGTGATTTTTCATATTTTTCGATTTCTCAAGACTTGTTCTATTGCATACAGGTTGTATGTTTTATTACATTGGTTTGCTACCCCTTTAATTTATACTGTCACCTTGTTTTGGTGTGGTATATATTTCCTGTTTTGTTATATATTATATTTGGTGTATGTGAGGTACACTTTTGGGTGTTCGGCACTACCATTTGGTCTTTTGGGACATTATACATTACTTTTTCTTATACACCATAGACAACAACTCCATAAGAAAATCTCTGTACGCCTCGCTTATCTCAAGTCATTGTATGGCTCCAAACACTGCCTCAATCTCCTCCTCATGAGGTATAGAAGTATATAGACTGTTGATGTCCATTGTGCACAATAAAGTACCACAAGGGACATCACCAACCAATTCCAATTTGTTGATAAAACCCTTACTGTCCTGTACAAAAGAACGCATATTGCAAACCAATGATGTACATCAACAAATTTAGACAGCTGTTGCAGCACTGATCCACACCCTGATATTATAGGGCGACCAGGAGGGTGTCTCAAATTTTTGTGTATCTTAGGGAGCAAATATATAAACGGAATCTTAGGATGATCCACATTCAAGAAATTATAATCTCTTCTATCAATCAATCCAGTATCAAGTGCTACCTCAGTGATTTCTTTAATTCTTGCTTGTAACTCACCTGTTGGATCACACTCTAAAATCCTATAGTGTTGGGTATTAGTCAGTTGACGATCCATTTCAGCCATATATTCGCCTGTGCCCATAACCACCAGGGCACCTCCCTTGTCCGCCAGTCTTATCGAAATTGTCCTGTCATTCCTTAATTCGTTAAGCGTAGACCATTCATGTCTCTTCAAATTAATTTTTCGTTTCTTCCCCGGTTTGTTTTCCTGTCACTGGAGAGTCCCTTTAAGAATATAAAAAGCTGAACATTTGAATGAGAGTGATGAATGTGATTCATTATTGATCCAGTCTTACAAGAGTTAATGAATTTCGGATTTACGACACCTGCGATGGTCTTCTTTCTACAAATATATACTTATGGGAGTTTTGGATTCAGTGACTGCTGCCAGAGTTACACATATACCAAAGGTTTAACTTGAATGCACTCCTTGCAATGTTTGTGCCATAGTTAATAAGAATTATTGAAAACATAGATATGATGTGTTTTGACCATCAGAGCTAGTACATTAATCTTACCGCTCTAACTTAAGGCCAGCTCTTTTTTACATCAGCAGAGCATGGTATTTAGTAGACTATTCCCTTTTGTCTGATTTTTAGGGTAAGGTAGTTAAGCAGTGTTTACACATTATCAGTTTTTATCTCAGATAATTCACTATAATAAATCAATCTATTTGAGTTCTTTTTCTTTAGTTGCAGTAATTGTGTAGAATCAAAACATGGAAAAATTTATTTTGCGTATATTTAATGTTTTGTTGTGTGTGTGTATAAGCGATAACAGAAGAAAACCCTATCCACACTTTAGAAATCAATATATTTATGAGTCATGGTGTAATAAACGCATAGCAAAATTACTCACTACCTAATATAATCTTGGAAAAGGTTTTGCTTACGAGAGGGTTAAACATTTTGTATAAAAGTGCTATTTTATAAACATATAAGCTTACAGACAGGGTTCTCAAGTCCCATTCTATTGATATGTTTAACTATATTATGCAAAGTCTGTAACCAATTATTTTTGGACTTATTTATCAATCTTTGCATAGCACCAAAGTTAAGGGAGTTTCAATAATAGCGGTAACATAGTTTTACTACATGACAGGAGGCTTCATATATTGCTTAACTCTATTTACTTAACTCCAACAGCAGCAACCATAGCAACTAACAAGAAAACTGCAGCAGGTCAGCAGCCCCACTAGACCACAGGGAAGGAGACCCCACTCCCCAGCATTCTCAAAGGTAAGGAGGCTGGGGGGCTAAATAAAAAAAAAGTGAGTGTGTTAATGTGAGTGAGTGTGTGTGTATGTCTGTTAGTGTGTGTCTGACTGTGTGTGAGTCTGTTAGTGTGTGTATGTTAGTTTGTGTCTGTTGGTGTGTGTGTGTGTGTCTGTTAGTGAGTGTGTCTGTTAGTGAGTGAGTGTGTGTTTGCCTGTTAGTGAGTGTGAGTGTGTTTGCCTGTTAGTGTGTGTGTGTGTCTGTTAGTGAGTGTGTGTGTCTGTTAGTGAGTGTGTATGTCTGTTAGTGAGTGAGTGTGTCTGTTAGTGAGTGAGTGTGTCTGTTAGTGAGTGTGTCTGTTAGTGAGTGTGTGTCTGTTAGTGAGTGTGAGTGTGTTTGTCTGTTAGTGTGTGTGTGTCTGTTAGTGTGTGTGTCTGTTAGTGTGTATTTCTGTTAGCTAGTGTATGCGTATCTGTCAGTGAATGTGTGTGTGTGTGTGTGTATTTAGAAGGTGGGGCAGGGGGGAAGGGTTGGGTGGGGGTGGTGCGGGGGTGGGTGCCTGAGTTTTGTCCTGCCTAGGGCAGCACAAAACCAGGATACACCACTGATTCATGGTAGCCATCTTTCTTTCATTACAGGATGCACAGAACAGCTGCAATCACTTGGCACAATATTTGGATTTCAGCATTTTAAATGGAACACTCTGCAGTAGTAGGACCACTACACACTACTGCTGATGCTTCCTAGCCTCTACATCAGGCATAGGCAACCTTCGGCACCCCAAATGTTTTTGACTACACCTCCCATGATGCTTTGCCAGCATTATGGTTGTAAGAGCTTTATGGGGGATGTAGTCCACAACATCTGAAGTGCCGAAGGTTGCCTTTCCCTGCTCTACATTGTGATAAGTGGGCTAAGCATTCTATCATAATACAGCACAAGGCTGAGCCACACTTGTAAGACTGAAGTGAGCCCCGACCTTCCACCATTCTGGGGAGAGACCCCATATTGCCCACTAGTATCTCAACTATTTACCTAGTGTGAGCACCTTGTACACCTGAGGTAATATTACTCTATACCTCTCTGGTATTGTATTTCGAGTGACCCTTATTTAAAATGATGGTGCACTGCGTTTCCTCCACCATATATGTTTACAGTGTCTGTTCATGCTCATAATCAGCCTTGTGTTTGGCCTGTCTGACAGAGCCTATGGGTGAGTCCCATTTCACCGCTATACACTTTATTATTAATATTCCTGGCTGATCCCCAGTTTTACAGCACCAGAGTGGGTTTACCACACACTGCTTTATGGATCAGGTATACACCCTGACCGCTGTCTACTCTATCATTGACAGGTACCGCTCTCAAGGACCAACTAGACATCTAGAGCAACTCTCCTTCTCAACCCCATGATTGCAGGCACTCATTATTGCCACAGTCTCCATTGAAAAGACTCCATCCAGTGTCCTTACAAATCGTGGACGAAGTTGGGGACTCTGTTGCCTTCATGGCCTCCAAGCAACATTAGAAGGGCAAGACTCTGGTTCTTCAGAGAACAAATGGCAAGGCTCCAGTCAAGTGCCCCAAGATAGTTGTGGATCATGAGTTACCATCAATGGCAACATGAGGAGAATTGATACCTGCACTCCGTCATTGGCGAATGGCAAGCGGGCGAGCAGCCTCCGAGGTGGAAGTTACCAGATAAGATATTTTTCTCATCAAGATTGCAAATATGTATGGGAATCAATGCTGAGGGAATATGTTAACCAAAGGGAGGCCCCAGAGTTATTCACTGTCACGGAGGATGAAGTCTTTCTGGATGTCACATATGCAATCCAAAATCTTAGGAATGGGCACTCTCTGAGCAACCTACTAAATTTGTCTATTTTTGGCTGCGCAAGCCACTTGAGAAAGACTTAGCAGCCACATGAGAGATGAATGTCCTCGCCCTTCACTACCCGATATAATTTCTCAAACACTAGAGTTTGATTCTACGGTAGTTGTCTTCATGTCCCGGATGGGATGGGATCCCAGGAAAGGTAATGAACGTGGTTTCAAGATGCAAATAAAAGATAAAGATAGAGGAGTGCAGGTACAGATGTATATAGTATACTTATAGACACTGGTCGGTCCTTTAAATGTCATCTATATACAAAGAAAGTCCAAACATAGCATAATACTGTTTGACCAAATAACGTAATAAATAGATGTTGATTTTCACTCATACTTTGCAGAGCCACATATAGTAGGCTCTGACTATTATTGCTCTTTCAGAATTCCCTGGTATGCTTGACTCCACCACGTCTCCAGATCTCTCCACTTGTGCCAGGATACAGGAGATATAAATAATTCCAGTAGAAAGTGGGGATACTTTTCAAAAATTTAATAGCATATATAAACAAACAGGGACATATATAAAGTGCATAAAAAGTGAGAAATAAGGAAGATAGCAGCACTGACGCGTTTCGACTACAATAAAGTCTTTTTCAAAGTGCATAAAACAACAGTCGCCATGTTCTGTATTTATATCCTCTTTCCTGTTTGAATTTGGCGCCAAAAAAATCTCCGTTGTGATCACGTCCTCCTACTTCCTGGTTCCGCCAGACGACTTCCGTGTTTCCGTCCTCTTTTGCGTCACGTTGCGTCTGACGTCAGACGTTTTTTGCCGAACCGGAAGTGGTTCGTATTAGGTCATTGAAGCTATCGCGGCCATATTGAAACAGTCTTGTATTATATACTTTGCATGGGACCATCCTGGCAATGTATTTTCTTTGTTTCACAACATAATAAAAGTTCCTCTCATCCCTTAAAAACTTATATCAATAATCATTATAAAAATACAATTGTATACCTAAATTAATAACATAAATATATTTTTAATGAGTGTAAAAATACAATTAGTGACATAAATATATTTATAAAAAGGAGAGAAGAAAAAGAAGAAGAGAAGGCAATTTAAAGGGAGAGACCACATAATCAATCTAATACCTGTAAAAACAGTACAATAAAAAACATATAAATAATTAGGCATATATCAATAAAAGATATACATATATAAGACATTTTGAGCAATAAAACTATTAGATAAGTACACTCATCTCAAACTCCATGTTGAGCCCTTTGGGTGATAATGTATCCAAATTAAAAATCCAACCCATTTCACATTTACTTAAATTTTAATTAATGTCACCCCCTCTCCAATGTTTTGTAACTGTTTGAATTCCGTAAAATTTAATTCCACTTGGATCCTGGTTATGGTGTTCTAAAAAATGTATGGAAACACTATGAGTTTTAAGTCCTTTCCTAATGTTATATGTGTTCCTGCACCCTCGTGGCCACACATCTAGATGTTTTTCCCACATATTGTAGACCACAGGGACATTCTAACACATATATCACATTTTTAGTCTTGCAAGAAATAAAATTATCTATGTTATGTTCTTTCAAATTAACATTGGAGTGGAAGGACAAAATATTCCTTTCTTTTACTTTAGATGTTCTACACCCCATACAATTCCCACAAAAATTAAAACCTTTTAATAAAGCCTTCTGGCTGTTTAAAAAATTGTTTTTTTCAATAAAACTAGAAGTCATGTTGAGAGAAAACAAATTGTTCCTCCCAATAAGCCATAAATAAATTAGCATAACTGTTATGCTAATTTATTTATGCTAATTTATTATGGCTGTTATGCTAATTTATTTAAGGCTTATTGGGAGGAACGATTTGTTTTCTCTCAACATGACTGGGTTGCGAACCTGGTCCTCTATAGAAGATACATTGATGACATTTTCTTTATTTGGAAAGGTGACAAATCATCAGTTTTAGATTTTTTAAACTAACTCAATACGAATCAGTGGAATATTAAATTAACTCATGTAGTTAATCGGCAAACGATTGATTTTCTAGATCTGAATATTTATGTAAAAAAAGAAAAAATTGAGACATGTACTTTTTTTAAACAGGTGGATGTGAACAGCTTCATTGAAAAAGGAAGCTGTCATTTTCCACCTTGGTTGGATAATATTCCAAGAGGTCAGGTCCTTAGATTAAGAAGGAACTGTTCAGAAATAGAAAAATATAATCTACAGGCTTCTGCATTGAAAGGACAATTTTTAGAAAAAGGTTATGAGAAAGTAGTCCTTGAAAATACAATTCAAGAAATTGGAGAATTAAATAGAGAAGATCTGTTAAAGTATCAGAAAAAGAAGGATAATAAGCATGAAGATACGATTCCACTAATATTTAATTTTAATAAAAATCATTCAAAATTGAAACATATTTTTAATAAAAATTGGCACTTACTTAAACAGGAAGATGATATTGCACCTTATATAGGGGATAAACCTAAAATTATATATAGGGGGGGCTCAGAATCTTAAACAGATTTTAACTTCTAGTTTTATTGAAAAAAAAACGATAATTTTTTAAACAGCCAGAAGGCTTTATTAAAAGGTTTTAATTCTTGTGGGAATTGTATGGGGTGTAGAACATCTAAAGTAAAAGAAATGAAGATTTTGTCCTTCCACTCCAATGTTAATTTGAAAGAACATAAGATAGATAATTTAATTTCTTGCAAGACTAAAAATGTGATATATGTGTTAGAATGTCCCTGTGGTCTACAATATGTGGGAAAAACATCTAGATGTGTGGCCACGAGGGTGCGGGAACACATATATAACATTAGGAAAGGACTTAAAACTCCTAGTGTTTCCCTACATTTTTTAGAACACCATAACCAGGATCCAAGTGGAATTAAATTTTACGGAATTCAAACAGTTACAAAACATTGGAGAGGGGGTGACATTAATTCAAATTTAAGTAAATGTGAAATGGGTTGGATTTTTAATTTGGATACTGTGACGAGGGCAATCTCGCCACATTGCATCGGAGAGGCCTGGTTGCTCGCCTGTTGCCTTTGGATTATGGCCCCATGTTAAAAGGCTTGATTTTCCCCTGCAAAGACAAGAAAGCCGGGTCATTTGGTGCTTGCCCTGTTTGAGCAGTGATACCCCAGATAGCTTTGCCATGGAACCTATTTGTATAATGAAAGACTATGGGAAAGACTTTGGCTCCATGGCAATTGAACTGTATGTGTGTGCTCTGAGCGCCATTCAGTAATAATGTGCACTCAGACCTAAGCTATCTGGGCATATGTTGTTTTTTTCAATAAAACTAGAAGTCATGTTGAGAGACCTAAATGTAACTTTGTGTATTTTATTGTATTTTACTGTCTTTTTGCTGCCATGTGTTCAATGGAGTTTTGCCTTTGTCTTTGGAGATAATTGGATTACTTTACAATTATCTCCAGGATAGAAGACTCTGTGGAACTGGTTTTGGGCAGAAAAGCCATGCTTCCTGTGGTCACAAAGGACTACGATCTATGTTTTGAACCACTGGACCAATTTGTATGATTTTGACGTATGTTTGTATTTGGAGAATGCTGATTCTGAAAATGTGAATGTGATGCATACTTTTCAAGTTATGAATAATGTGGAAAAATTGTATTTCTCTGTTTGTGCTAAATTACATTACCCATTGTGTAAGGTAATTGAATCACAAGCAGAGGGGAGGAATTTGTGTGGGAGTGTCTGAGTGTATTGTATGTGTTTATTGGTTGTGTTCCAAAACCCTGTGGGTGGTACTAATGTGTAAGAATGTGTACATAAGCACAATAAACCCACAGCTCTGTCTGTTCACTGTTTGACCCTCAACATGGAGCTTTGTCTCGTTCTTGGGGGGATTTATTTGTATGCTGTACCAGTTTGACTGCTAGGAGTGTAAACCTATTCGTATGGTTTTTCCTATTTGGCTGTTTACGGCATTCATATGGTTTCCTGTTCAGCGGATTGGTGTTCTGCAGTAGCTGTGCCTGTGTCTCTGGAAGGGAAGATCTACTAAACGGCGGTTTAACCCTTTTATGCCTGGGGGTGCTGTTACAGATACATTATTACCCAAAGGACTCAACATGGAGTTTGAGATGAGTGTAGTTATTTAATAGTTTTATTGCTCAAAATGTCTTATTTATATATATATATATATATATATATATATATATATGTATATATATATATATATATATATCTTTTATTGATATATGACTAATTATTTATATGTTTTTTATTGTACTGTTTTTACAGGTATTAGATTGATTATGTGGTCTCTCCCTTTAAATTGCCTTCTCTTCTTCTTTTTCTTCTCTCCTTTTTATAAATATGTTTATGTCACTAATTGTATTTTTACACTCATTAAAAATATATTTATGTTATTAATTTAGGTACACAATTGTATTTTTATAATGATTATTGATATAAGTTTTTAAGGGATGAGAGGAACTTTTATTATGTTGTAAAACAAAGAATATACATTGCCAGGATGGTCCCATGCAAAGTATATAATACAAGACTGTTTCAATATGGCCGCGATAGCTTCAATGACCTAATACGAACCACTTCCGGTTCGGCGAAAAACGTCTGACGTCAGCCGCAACGTGATGCAAAAGAGGGTGGAAACACGGAAGTCGTCCGGCGGAACCAGGAAGTAGGAGGACGTGATCACAACGGAGATTTTTTGGGCGCCAAATTCAAACAGGAAAGAGGATATAAATACAGAACGTGGCGACTGTTGTTTTATGCACTTTGAAAAAGACTTTATTGTAGTCGAAACGCGTCAGTGCTGCTATCTTATTTCTCACTTTTTATGCACTTTATATATGTCCCTGTTTGTTTATATATGCTATTAAATTTTTGAAAAGTATCCCCACTTTCTACTGGAATTATTTATATCTCCTGTATCCTGGCACAAGTGGAGAGATCTGGAGACGTGGTGGAGTCAAGCATACCAGGGAATTCTAAAAGAGCAATAATAGTCAGAGCCTACTATATGTGACTCTGCAAAGTGTGAGTGAAAATCAACATCTATTTATTACGTTATTTTGTCAAACAGTATTATGCTATGTTTGGACTTTCTTTGTATATAGGTGACATTTAAAGGACCGACCAGTGTCTATAAGTATACTATATACATCTGTACCTGCACTTCTCTATCTTTATCTTTTATTTGCATCTTGAAACCACGTTCATTACCTTTCCTGGGATCCCATCCCATCCGGGACATGAAGGCAACTACCGTAGAATCAAACTCTAGTGTTTGAGAAATTATATCGGGTAGTGAAGGGCGAGGACATTCATCTCTCATGTGGCTGCTAAGTCTTTCTCAAGTGGCTTGCGCAGCCAAAAATAGACAAATTTAGTAGGTTGCTCAGAGAGTGCCCATTCCTAAGATTTTGGATTGCATATGTGACATCCAGAAAGACTTCATCCTCCTATTTTAATTCGTGTTTTTTAAGTGTTTTTTTTTTTTTAAACACTGTGGAGTTGCACTGATACTTCCGCTACCACCCCCACACTTTGTGTGTTTTGCACTTTATTGTGTAAGTTTGCTTTGTGGTTTCAAGATGGGTCAGGAAAAACTTCTGGATATCCTGGGGCTTTTGGCTGAGATTCTCTCCTTCTTGGATCAAGCCCTACCTCAGGGTGCACAACTGGACCCCATCCCCATGCAGGAGTGGGTTCAGAGAACTATTTGCTTTCTTGTGGAATGCCAATGCAGCCCAATGTTTTGAATGCTGCAAGGCAGTGATACTGTGCATAGATTCAGAACTCTTGGACCTCCGAACCAAGTCCCCAAGCGAAAGTTCTGTTATTGGGAGAGTCATTTATTCGTGAACTGACTCTCCCTCATACTTAATAAGCTCAGACATCACTCATGAAAGTATTCAACCCTACACAAGCAGAGGTGGTTTTGGCAGGGCTGGTAAACAGCAGGGCCACGTAAGCAGCCTCTTCTGGCCATCAAGCCCTGGAAGGAATCTACCATCAGCTACCTTTTCCCCAGGAAATACCAAATGGGCATATCCATCCCAGAGTGGCCTGGACAGAGATTGAGCACCTCCTGGACGTGGCAGAGCAAGATTCCATATCAGTAGTGGTTCCCACAGTTCTTCTGTCCCAACTTTCACTCCAGGCAGGCTGATTTTTTTTCTTTCAGAACTGGAAACACTATTATCAGATGCGTGGATACTACAAATGGTCCAGGGATATGTCATCAAATTCCGTACGATACCAGTGCAGCAATATTTGCCCTGGGCCAGCTATACCTTATTCACACACACCGATCTCATAAACGTGGGAATTCTCTTACTGTTTTCCACTGGAGAGTTTTAGTTTGCCCCCCCAAAAAAAGGTTTCTTCAGCAATATTTTATTTTCATCCAGTAACAAACATACGTCAGCTCAACGCTTTTTTGGTGTACAGACACTTTAAGATGGAAGGCATCCATATTCTAAGAGACCTGCTTCAGAGAAATGATATGTTTAAGTGCCAAGATCTCAAGGACCCTTACCTATCTGTTCTTATGACTCTAGAGAGCTGCTAATTTCTTGGATATCTATAGAGCGATTGAAATTGTCAGTTCATGTGCCTGACCTTCTGACTAAGTTCTGTATAGTGGTGTTTCACAAAATTTTTGAAGCCGGTGGTAGCCCATTTGCAATCCAAAGGCATATGATGTATATGCCTCAACATTATATTAATTTTTTTGCGACATAGTCTTCTGATGTCAGACTAAATTTGTGGTTCACTTTCCTGAATCCTTGGAGTTTACGGTAAGTAAATCAGAAGAAATTGTCTTTTACCCCAACACAAGTAGTACACTGGATTTCAAGATAGACTCCATTCAGTTCGATCTTCGGTTGCCTCAATTAAAAATAACTTCACTTCACAACGAGATCCTATGGATACTTCATCGTGAGTACATACTTCTTCGTCTGCTTTGTCTACTAGCCCGTCTTGTGGGACTCCTCTGATCTTCCATAGAAGCAATATACATCGGCCGGCTACACTCAAGGGCTATGCAAACAGCTGAAAGCAGAATACCTTCAGATAACTCCTTCTTACCTCTCACTCTGGAAGTCAAGATGGTACTCAAGTGGTGGCTACAACTCATGAGTGCTTGGAACGGAAAAGGGATCTTTGTTGCTTCTTTGTAGTGGAATTTGTGGAATCAGACACCAGCCTCGGGGGTTGGGACACACAGTGTGCAGGTTATTCCACAGGGGACCTTGGTCAAAGAGGGAAGCAGGTTTACACATAAATTGTATGAATCTGATAAAAGTAGTGTAGGATCCACCAATATTGGGGTATTGTGACGTAGTCATGGGTTTAACACAATATGGACATTTGCTTTAACTGAATCCCCATATCTATCTGCTAAGATACAGTTGTGCTCAAAAGTTTGCATACCCTGGCAGAAATTGTGAAATTTTGGCATTGATGTTGAAAATATGACTGAGCATGCAAAAAAAGTATTTTATTGAAGGATAGTGATCATATGAAGCCATTTATTATCAATTAGTTGCTTGGCTCCTTTTTAAATCTCAAAGGGACACTATAGTCACCTGTCCTGTGAAGAGAGCCCTATTTAGGCTTTCTTTATTGCAAGTTCTGTTTAATTAAGATTTTCTTATCCCCTGCTATGTTAATAGCTTGCTAGACCCGTCAAGAGCCTCCTGTATGTGATTAAAGTTCAATTTAGAGATTGAAATACAATTATTTAAAGTAAATTACATCTGTTTGAAAGTGAAACCAGTTTTTTTTCATGCAGGCTCTGTCAATCATAGCCAGGGGAAGTGTGGCTAGGGCTGCATAAACAGAAACAAAGTGATTTAACTCCTAAATGACAGTGAATTGAGCAGTGAAATTGCAGGGGAATGATCTATACACTAAAACTGCTTTATTTAGCTAAAGTAATGTAGGTGACTATAGTGTTCCTTTAATTATATCAGAAATCACCCAAATGGCACTGATTAAAAGTTTACAAACCCTTGAATGTTTGGCATTATTACTGACACACAAGTTAAAATGGCAATTAAAGGTTAATTACCCACGCGTGTGGCTTTTAAAATTGCAATTAGTGTCTGTGCATAAATAGTCAATGGGTTTGTTAGCTCTCACGAATGCACTGAGCAGGCTAGATACTGAGCAGAAAAGAACTGTCAAAAGACCTGCGAAACTAAGTAGTGGAACTTTATAAAGATGGAAAAGGATATAAAAGGAAATCTAAAGCCTTGAAAATGACAGTCCGTACTGTTCAATCACTTATTAAGAAGTGGAAAATTTGGGGATCTCTTGATACAAAGCCAAGGTCAGGTAGACCAAGAAAGATTTCAGCCACAACTGCCAGAAGAATTGTTCAGGATACAAAGAAAAACCCACAGGTAACCTCAGGAGAAATACAGGCTGCTCTGGAAAAAGACGGTGTGGTTGTTTCAAGGAGCACAATATAATGATACTTGAGCTGCATGGTTGAGTTGCCAGAAAGAAGCCTTTACTGAGCCAATGCCACAAAAAAGCCCGGTTACAATATGCCTGACAACACCTTGACATGCCTCACAGCTTCTGGCACACTGTAATTTAAAGTGACGGGACCAAAATAGAGCTTTATGGTCATGTTTGGAGAGAGATCAACAAGGCCTATAGTTAAAAGAATACAATCCCCCCTGTGAAGCATGGTGGTTGCTCACTGATGTTTTGGTGTGTGTACGCTCTAAAGGGAATCTTGTGAAAAATTATGGCAAGATGAATGCAGCATGTTATCAGGAAATACTGGCAGACAATTTGCATTCTTCTGCATGAAGGCTGCGCATGGGATGCTCTCGGACTTTCCAGCATGACAATGACCCTAAGCACAAGGCCAAATTGACCCTCCAGTGGTTACAGCAGAAAAAGGTCAAGGTTTGGGAGTGGCCATCACAGTCTCCTGACCTTAATATCATCGAGCCACTCTGGGGGGGTCTCAAATGTGCAAGACTACCAAAGACTTTGCATGACCCAGAGGCGTTTTGCCAAGACAAATGGACAGCTATACAAGAATTAGGGGCCTCATAAACTATTTCAAAAGACTGCTCGGTGTCATTGATGCTAAAGGGGGCAATACACAGTATTAAGAACTTAAGGGAATGCAGACTTTTGAACAGAGGTCATTTCATTTTTTTCTTTGTTGCCATGTTTTGTTTTATGATTGTGCTATTCTGTTATAACCTACAGTTGAACATGAATCCCATAAGAAATGTGTTTCCCCCGCTCACTGTTTTCTTCAAGGGTATGCAAACTTTTCAGCACAACTGTAGGTGATTGGAAGTAGCCTTGTTAAATTTAAAACTGTATATATTTGTGTGTGCGCTGTTCCCTAATTTTTACTTCTTCCCAGATGCACAAGCACCTGGCCACCCACCTGATCTGAAAGAAATCTTATTCATTAGACCAAGCAACCTTCTTCCATTGCTCCATGGTCCAGTTGTGATGCTCATGTCTCCACTGAATGCACTCTCAGTGGGGACATGGTCAAAATAAGCATTCTGACTAGTCTGTGGCTAAGCAGCCCCATATGAAGCAAACTACAATGCACTTTGTGTTCTGACACCCATCTATCATGGAGAGCATTAAGTTTTACACCAATTTGAGCCGTAGTAGATCTTCTGTGTGACGAACCTCATGGGCTAGCGTTCTCTCCTCACGTGCATCAATGAGCCTTGGGCACCCATGACCCTGCCGTCGGTTCACCGGTTGTGCTTCCTTGCACCACTTTTGGTAGGTTCTAACCACTGCATAACAGGAACACTCCACGAGACTTGCTGTTTTAGAGGTGCACTGATCCAGTTGTCTAGCCATCACTATTTGGCGATTGTTAAAGTTTCTCAGATGATTTGGCTTGCACATTTTTCCTGCTACCATGAAAATCATGGTATAAAAATAGGGGTTATCCTGTTAGGGAAGAAATGGCACAACATAATGCAAAACTGTATGTTTAAATTATATAAAATATGTGTCAAATGGCCACTCACAATTTGTAAAAGATAAAAAGGCCTTCAGAATATTAGATGCACATGTACATCTGTTTGCAGTCTTGAACTTTGAATATCTCAGAATAAGGAGAGACATGGTGCAATCCAATTATAAGGCAGCCAAAATAAAGTGCACAATGCAAATTTATTAACTTACAGCAAAGTTAGTATAAGTAGATGTAGTTGTCACCATAGGGTCAAAAAGGTAAGTCTTACGCATTTCGTCCCATCCGCGGACTTCTTCAGGGACAAATCAATGTTGTTCAAACAAAATACAAAGTCCATATGAACCATTTCCCTTTCCCAGTTCTTAAATACCCATTTCCCAGCTTCTAGGTTTCTTCCGATAGGTCCTCCGGTCTTGTCAGATGTTCTCAGTGAAGTCTGATTTTACTTCCGGGTTCTGCCTTCTCTGACATGACCATGCCCCTGTGCAGTGGCGTCATGCATTCCACGCATGCGTTCCACCACGGTTGATCCATTCATCTACAGATTTTGGTATTTTTTATTTTGATGATGTCATCATGTTACGTTGAAATGATGGATGCGTTCCATCTGCGATCCAATCTGTTTTTTCAGCTCCGTGGGCAGTTCATATAAATAAGTCCATTATGGGAAGTATCACAATTAAAAAAATGGGGAGGGAAATATATAGGAATATTCCATATTAATTTAAAAAAGATCAATGAATAACATCATATCTTTATTAAATCACTAAATAAAACACAATAAAAGCTACCTTATTACTACCTGGACAGCCCAAATACATAATAAATTTCTGGTTATTAGACATGTGCAATTTGTTTCGGTAACCAAGTAACCAATCAGAGAGTTATGAGTCAAATTACACAGCGTGGGAAAATTCCAAAGAACTTTCCCACGCTGTGTAAAATGACACAGAGCACTCTGATTGGTGGATTTCAAGCTAACCAATCTAACCTGCTGTGACAAATGTAGAAACTTAGTCTGCGCGAAGCCCTCCATGGGTGAAGAAGGATTATTTTTTTTGCGCTTGTTTTTTTGTTTGTTTTTTTTTTGTGCGTCGGTTATTATGGATTTTTTATTTGGCCTTTTTTTGGGCTGAAAAAATTAAATTTTACAGGAAAGAAAACATCAAATGGTAAGGGGTTAGTTTTTTTTGGGAGGGGGGTGACTAGGGGTCCCCCACCCGCTGCTTAGGGGTGGGGGCCAGGAGGGAGGACAATAGGGGGGACCCCCCTTTTTTTTTAAACAGTGAGCAGCCACAGGCTGCTCACTGTTTAATAGACATGCCCCTACTCACGGTATAGCGAGTAGGGGCAAAATTTACTAATACTAAGTAATTTTTATTTAGTATTAGTAAATTTGGCGGAAAGACCAATTTAGGTCTTTCAGCCTTTTGGTAGATAGCTCCCTAATAACATGGGAATTAGGGCGTTATCTACTAAGCGGCTGCAAGAGAAGTGCCGAAGTCCCGAAATTCCAAAGTTCCGAAGTTGCCGAAGTGCCAAAGTTCAGAAGTTTCGAAGTGCTGAACCGAACTGAAGTGCCGAAGTCCCGAATTGCCGAACTCCCGACTTGCAGAAGTCCCAAATTTCGGAATGCCGAACCGAACCGAAAATTTTCCCCATGCACATGCCTACTGGTTATCTCTTAAAAATGTCACCAAAATATCAATATAGACTAAATTAAATTAACCCTTTCTTGAAATGTTGATTAAACGTTATTATTAAAATAGTAGGAATTAGTACATGTATGGGGACAATATCAGGTATATCCATATGCACACATATGTATGTATACATACATACACATAGACATGTACATGTAACCACATATAAATACATACACATATACCCACATATACAAATAATAAACTTTTTCATGGGATGAACAGAATTTTTGTTATAAATAAAACTTTTGGGCTTCCAGAGAGAAAACAAGAAGCTGACTGTTCACTTGCTGCCTAATATATCCAAATCCTTGACTGGTACCATTGTCATTTTATAATTCTTGTTATTCACTTCACCTGCCAGTGGTTGTAATGTTGTGATTGATCAGCGTAAAAGGCTTAAAATTTTGATCCTTATCCGGCAATTCATTAAAACTAATAAGTTAACTTAGCTAGAAGTACATATAACTTTCTAGTGAGTTTTCTAGGAAATGTGTCATTTCTAAAATGCTTATAAATATAAAAACTACCAGTGTCTTGGAAATGTTTCTCTCGATGAAGTGTCTTGGTTCAAAGAAGTAGACTGTGTTATTTAACCTGTTTTATATATCCGAGTTATTGTCTATGTAACTTCTCCAGAACAGCATTTTGTATATTTGACAGCAGGTGGCAGTATAGGATAATTTGGTGGGATACATTTTCAATAGGAAATAAATGTGCAGCTCTACATTAATTTACATTTGTTGGCCAAACATATTTTATTTATTATTGCATTATACTTCTATGTTTAGACTATTATATTGATTACAATGTATCTACTAGTCTCAAATATTTGGGGTGAATTCTTGCATGAATCAAACACAAGTAACCAATGCAAGTTTGAATGAACTCAGTTCAATCTTTTTTGTTTCCCACATTCACATTTATGGTTTTCGATCAGAGACGCACTGTTTCTGAGGGTATGTTTAGTAAATTAAATAAATGATGACTTAGGTACCATAACAACTTTGTAAAAAGCACTGCCCTCTGGATCAGTGACTTCAAAGGAGGAAATTTGCATCTCTCTCTGCAACGAGTCCAAGACACAGCTGTGTGCCTCTGTGGTAGAGGCTTGGAAGATTGATGCACATACCCACTGTTGTAGCAATGTCACGAGGTGCCCGGGGGCAAGTCTTTTAAGTTTGCCCCCCACCCCCAAACGATAGTTCCTATGATACATAGTGCGCAGTTATAGAGGTTTAAAAAAAAAAAAACTTAATATAGAGAATGTTCCAATGTGGTCAAGTACACTCACAAGTGTAAACAGAATAACTGATTAAACAAATATGAGCAACAGCATACTGTCAATGTGTCAGTCCCATAACCGTCCTGCCTTCTGATTGAAATGATGAAAGTAAAGAAGTAACCCCTGTTTCAGAACTTAACTCTGAATTGTAATTTGTTTTGCTCAGAAATGCTTTAGACTTGAGAAAGTGAGGTTATTTATATCAAATCTTGTAGGATTTTTTGAGCAATAAATGCACTGTTTGACACCCACTCAGTGATGATCACTGATACACATTTTTACTGACCTATACATGCACACTCTTTGATGCACGTACAGGCACTGACTGGCACATAATCACTGACGTCCACACACACTGGTTTACACATTGGCACACACACCGTGACCCATGCAAACACAATCATTAATATACATGCTCAGTGGAACACTGTGACTAATACAACCACACTGACATACAATCACCAATGCACACACGCACTCACTAACACACAATGGCATGCGCACACACATATACTCATTAAAACATACTGACACACATACACACATGCAGTGAATCTTACAAACACACTGACACAAACACAGGGACCAATACAAGCACTATGACACACACAGTGTCCAATGCAAACAAACTGCGCAAACACACACAGGGACCTATTCACACATACTGACACACACAGTGATTAATCCAAACACACTGAGACACACACCATGGTCCATATACAAGCCTACATACACATGGTGACCTAAACAAACAAAATGAAACACACACAGGGATTAGTAAAAGCACACTGGCACAACTTTGACCCATACACACACACTGACACATACATAGTGACCCCTATTCCTGCTCACCCTTACCAGAGCTGGTGAAGTCTGTCCCTATCCTGCTGCCTGCACTAGTCTCCACTACTTTACACAAAGCGTAGCTGCCGGGATATGACTCATGATGAATCCTGACAACCTTCAGCTCTGTGCATTGTTAGGAAAGTCTGGCCTTTGCCATTCCTTTCACCACCTCATCCTCCAACAGGAGGATAGAACAGTCTTGGAAAGGCAACTGGGAAATTTACCTGTGTCCCGGTAGGCCAGTCCATTGCACATCAGACCATCAGGCATGGCAAAATGTGCCGGGTAGCACATGCCCCCATCTGCCTCATCCCCATTGCTATGTCTCTGCACAGTTCAAGGCAGCACAAGGGAAGAATAAACTGATTGCTGCTGACAATGCTATGAGTAAATCTGTGATTGGGGACTGAACCACTTATTCCATAATCTAGTACTTCACAAATGTTAATGGGATGTTTCAATGTTTTATTCTGTGGTGTTATTCCTCCTTTAGTTAAATATTTCTAGAATAAAATATTGGAACAATCGTTTCTTTAACACAGTTTTAACAAATTATCTGACAACTAGACTATAAATGAACTGGGATTCGTCTGAATTTTGGGTGATCGTCGGGTCATCCAAATGCCGTAGGCACTTATCAACGAACAAATAAACTGAGAATGGATGAGCATGTTTACTTGTTTTGTGATTCGAAGTTCTGGCTATAGTGCCAAAAGAAGAGATAACCAACGGGGGTAAAAAAGATGGTGATTAAGAGACAGCCACTGAATATTGATTTTATTCACAGATCAAGTGAGAAGTGACCAATAGAGGGTACAAAAGGATGAGCAGCAAAAAAAAATAAAAATAATATATGTATTTTTTTTAATGCTCCTTCTGACTTTTTTTTCCTTTCTTGGTTACTTTCTCTCTTGAACTGTGAACCTAATGGAGTGAAAATGTGTTATAGATTCTATTTTGGAGTACACAGTGATTGTCCCACTTTTGAACATTTTTGGTTTGTCCAAATCTTTTTCCTCAATATTTTGCCTTGATGATATTCAGAAGAGTCAAACCACCACAATTATTACTATTACCTGAATAAAAGAACATTTTTGGACAAAGTGATTTGGCCAAACTGAATTTTTCCACTGTGCATAAGTCTTTGAACAACAAAACTATACAAACTACACAATCCAAAAATGCATAAACTCTGGTTTCTTTGTGAAAAATTAAGGAGAGAATATACGTCTAACAAGAGGGTCTCTAGAATGCTCAAGTGTGAGTACACCAAAATAATTTTCCCAACTTGAGTAATGCAATACATTCCATGCTGTTCTTACTCATTCCCAGATTGCTCCTTTGTAATCCTCACAGGAACACTCCAAACACCATAACCATTATAGAGCAGTGTAGTGTTTATAGAAACATAGAATGTGACGGCAGATAAGAACCATTCGGCCCATCTAGTCTGCCCAATATTTCAAAATACTTTCATTAGTCCCTGGCCTTATCTTATAGTTAGGATAGCCTTATGCCTATCCCACGCATGCTTAAACTCCTTTACTGTGTTAACCTCTACCACTTCAGCTGGAAGGCTATTCCATGCATCCACTACCCTCTCAGTAAAGTAATACTTCCTGTTATTATTTTTAAACCTTTTCCCCTCTAATTTAAGACTATGTCCTCTTGTTGTGGTAGTTTTTCTTCTTTTAAATATAGTCTCCTCATTTACTGTGTTGATTCCCTTTATGTATTTAAATGTTTCTATCATATCCCCCCTGTCTCGTCTTTCCTCCAAGCTATACATGTTAAGATCCTTTAACCTTTCCTGGTAAGTTTTATCCTGCAATCCATGAACCAGTTTAGTAGCCCTTCTCTGAACTATCTCTAAAGTATCAATATCCTTCTGGAGATACGGTCTCCAGTACTGCGTACAATACTTCAAATTATATATCTCCAGTGTTCTGTGCAATGGCATGAGGTACCCCACTAGTGATTATACCATGCTTCGAATATACTCCATTGACTGCAAACCTCTGTTATCTGTCACGCAGCCACTGCATTATAAATTCAACAATATTGGAACCCAAACTTAAAGATTGCCATTTATTGATAAGCCTTCTATGTGCAACAGTGTCAAAAGCCTTACTGAAATCTAGGTAAACAATGTCTACTGAACCACCCTGATCTATTATTTTAGTTACCCAATTAATAAAATCAATAAGATTAGTTTGGAATGACATCCCTGAAGTAAACCCATGTTGACTCTGAAATCCATGCGATTTTAGATGTTTAACAATTCTATCCTCTAACATGGTTTCCATTTCTTTCCTCACTACTGAAGTAAGGCTTACTGGCCTATAGTTGCCTGACACCTCCCTACTATCTTGCTTGTGAATGGGCACAACATTCGCTAACTTCCAATTTCTGGGACTACTCCTGTTAACAATGGTTGGTTAAATAAATCAGTTAATGGTTTTGCTAGTACACCACTACGCTCTTCTAATAACGTTGGGTGTATTCCATCAGGCCCCATTGACTTATTTGTCTTTACTTTTGACAGTTGCAATAGAACCTCTTCCTCTGTAAACTCACATGTAACAAATAACAGTTTTTTCCTAACTGAGGCCCCTTTCCTTCATTTTCATCTGTAAATACTGAACAAAAATATTAATTGAGGCAGTCAGCTAGACCTTTATCCCTTTCTACATATCTTCCTTCTTTTGTTTTTAATCTATATAATACTTGTTTTACTTTCCTTTTCTCATTTATGTATCTAAAAAATGTTTTGTATCCTTTTTTTCCTGACTGTGCTCTTTTCTCTTCTGTGTGTGATTTGGAGACCCGTTTAACTTGCTTATCTTCCTCGCTTTTTTTTTTTTTTTTTATAATTACTCAATGCTAACTTTTTGTTTTTTTACTATTTTGGCCACATCTGCAGAGTACCACAGAAAAAATTTCTTACATTTTTTGCTTTTACTGACAAGCCTAGTGCAATTTTTTGTTGCCTTCAGCAGTGCAACTTTTAAATAATCCAATTTCTTTTGGACTCCATTTAAACTGCTCCAGTGTGATAATGACTCCTTTACACATATTCTAATTTTAGAAATGTCTGTTTTTCTAAAGTCTAAAACTTTTGCTTTTGTGTGGTTTGACTCAGTCGCTGTTCTTATATTAAACCACACTTACATTGCCAGGAATGTCCGTGTACCCTCACATTGTCCGTGCACCTTCACAATTTTTAAACTATTATAGGTTTGAAATCTTATCTGGGGTTTACCAGGTGCTGCTCTCCACCTCTACTACATTTGACAGAGACAGAGACTCCTACTTAGGACCTTCCGTGAACTCCCCAGAGCTAAGCCATGTCCTTGCACCATCATTTGTAGATGAGGTGTGAAGCGGTGCCCAGCGGTCCTTAGGTAAGCGGTCAAACCACATCCTATGCTATATGATTTAGGGTTCAATTTAAAAGCCTAGTATTTGTACATACTTTACTTCATAACAGTGCCCCATCTATCTATATTCACTATTAAGTTAGCATGGGTGCCCTCCACCTCTGCAAAAGATCCACACATATCCTCTTTTCATATTATTATGTAGCCTCTAGAGCTACAATAGTCCTATGGA